TAAGGGCTTAAGCTGATCGGAACGTGAGCCGGGATTTGATTTCCTGACCATACGTGGCTGAGCTCCACTTTCCACTATTCCTCCTAAGCCTCAATGTTTTACAACAAGTGGCTAACAGGATTCAAGAAGATGGGTGCAAAAAAGATGGGCTATTTAGTGACGCAAACGGCCAAAACTGGATAATGTGCCGTTCACGAACGAAGGAGTCTTCAGTGTCACTTTTCGCGCTACTCAGAGTAGGTTCCACGTAAGTGGATCCTTTACTCAAATTGGAAACTCGACCAAGTAGAAAACGCAAGAGGCATCAATACTCAAAAAAGTGCTGGATCTGGTGGTTTACTCAACTACTACAACTTTCTTACTATACGAATGTGCTGCACCTTCGAGTGAAGTTACTGTATGAAGAATAGTGCTTGAAGGTGCGTTGCACATTCGAGCACTATTCTTCATACAGTAACTTCCTTTCTGGAGTAACACATTTTTCTTGCCTTATGTAGTTTAGCGCTCACTTCTACACGGAACTCGTCGCGACTCCATTCCGTTCGCTATTCTTGCAACAAGGTATCCCCTCGAGCGGAAGTTGTGTCTGTTCCAGTTTGTTGAAAGCCTTCTTGCGTCAATGTTCAGCCACATCGGTCAGCTAACAAGCAGGCGGAAGATGACGTGAAACGCATCCGCGCTCTTCTCATACACTCGTTTTTACATGAACTTTCGGATAGTTCTAGGACATTTCGTCTAGGCCGCGGCCGGTTCCATTCTTCCGCTTTAGTTGTGCCGACAGCCATGTACGGCTATATGTACACTTATGTATAGTGCACACCACTGTATTCTGCCTTGATTGCATCTAATGCTATGCGAACCGTCGGCACATTTGCTTCGCAGGAGTGACCAGTCCAATTCACTTCGCTTCACAGAAGATGAGCGCGTTCGTTTGCGTGTCTTACCCAGACCTTATACTCGATCGTTTTCGTGTGAATGTTTCTCAGAAAAAAAAAGAAACATTCACACGAAAACGATCGAGTATAAGGTCTGAGTAAGACACACAAAGGAACGCGCTCATCTTCTGTGGAGCGAAGTGAATTGGACTGGTCACTCCTGCGAAGCAAATGTGCCGACAGTTCGCATAGCATTAGATGCAATGCAAGTAGTAATCGTCGGTGTGCCTATTATGCATACATCATAGCAGTCATGGCTGTCGGTCCACTAAAGCGGCATAAGAATCGACGGCGCGGCGCCTAGACGAAAGTGTTCCGTGAACTATCCCGAAGTGTATGTAAACGAGTGTTGAGAGAGAGCGCGGCATTGTGAGTTTACGTCATCTTAGCCCTGGCTTGTTGGCTGACGTTGGGAACCTTGACGCCAGGAAGGCTTTCACACTGGAACGAACACAACTTCCGCTCGAGGGGATACCTTGTTGCAAGAATAGCGAACGGAATGGAGTCGCGACGAGTTCAGTGTAGAAGTGAGCGCTAAACTACATAAGGTAAGAAAAATGTGTCACTCCAGAAGGAGGCTCTGTTGGATAAGCTCGAGTGCCAACGCGTAGACTTCCATGCACATTTGCTATAGTATGAATGTGGGGTAGTGGAATGTAAACGAAGATCCAGCAGTTTTTATTGTATATTGTGCTCTTGCTTTTTCTACTTTGGTCGAGTTTCCAATTTGGTAATAGGATCAATTATGGAACATATCTGGTAGGCGCGGAATCAGTGACATGAGTTCTTGCGTTCGAGTGAACGGAACATTAAGTTTGGCGCGGTTTTGCCGTCACTAAGATAGCCAATCTTTTTGCACCTCTTCTTTGAATCCTGTTTAGCCATTGTTGTAAAACATTGAGACTTAGGCAGGGAATTGTGGAAATGGTGGAGTCTGCACGTCACCTGTATCACCTGTTCTCCGCCCAATTGCCAGGCTGGCATGCCCGCGGCTATCGATTGGCTCGAGCCCGGGCGTCAGCAACGTCTTTCTTCGTCGCTGTTCGCGGGCAGCGGTTGCCGCTGTGGACCTTCGGTCCCTCCGTCAGCGGCGATTTACGGTTGCGTTGCTTCATTCTTTCGTTAGAGCTTCGTGAAGAAGTTGACACGGGCTGGCCGGTTCGCTCAGGTCTTCGATTTGCACCTGTCCGCCAGGCATCCCACTTCGGTAACCGCTTCGCGGTCAGCCGGTCATTACGCAAACATCGCCATGGCGTGGCCGGCCCCCTTTCATCTTCGACTTCTTGCGGAAATTGCGCCGACCCGACCCGCCCCCCGCTCCCTGATCTTTCGATCCGTTGGCGCTAGTTCACGGCACTCGGCTATTCCTCTCAATTGACGGAGATACCGGGCTTAAGCTCACTTAGCCATCGTCTCTTCTAGACAGAGCGGTTGCGATAACGCTGGAACGCAATGCTGGTCCTTCGCCTGCGCAGAGTCAGGTCTTCTGAGCAATAGCCCGCTCTCCCGGCCAGGCCCCAGAAGGACAGCGGAATCGAAGAGGTGGGCACGGAGCCGGATGTTCTTCTTCTTCTTCACTACTCCCTCGATGTTCTTATACGCTCCCCAAGCCGCTCGTTTCCTCCTGCTCAGCTCTGGAGCTAGATCGTTCATCATATTGATTTCCCGACCTAGGTACACGTAGCTGGAGCATTCGGTGATGTTCGTTCCGTTGAGCGTGAATGGGGCATCAGGAACCAATCCGTTTCTCATAAACATCGTCTTCGTTAGGTTCAGCTGTAGACCAACCTTACCACAGGCGCAGTCGAAATCAGCCAGCATTCGCTCCGCTTGCTCGATGTTCGGCGTTATAAGAACGATGTCGTCAGCAAAACGAAGGTGGTGTAGTTGCCGGCCGTCGACCTTCACTCCCATGTCTTCCCATTCCAGTTGACGCATGACGTTCTCGAGAGCGGCGCTGAAGAGTTTGGGCGAGATGGTGTCGCCCTGTCGAACCCCTCTCTTGACGTCGATGATGACCTCCTTGTAGAATGGTGAGATCCTGGTCGTAAAGTTGCTGTAGAGCTCACGAAGAATCTTGATGTACTGAGTAGGGACGCCCTGGTTGCCCAAGGCTTCGATGACCGCTTCTGTCTCCACAGAGTCGAAGGCCTTCTTCAAGTCGATGAACGTGAGACAAAGCGGCATCTTGTACTCTCGTGAAACTTCAATGAGTCTTGTAACCGTGTGGATATGGTCGATCGTGCTGAACCCTCTTCGGAACCCTGCTTGCTCGCATGGCTGTCCTTCATCTAGTATTCTGCCGATCCTGTTAAGGATGACTCGAGTGAATAGCTTGTAGATTACAGACAGCAGGCAGATTGGGCGATAGTTGCCAATGTCGTCCAAGGTCTCCCTTCTTGTACAGCAACACGGTCCTGCTGGTTTTCCACGGAGTGGGTACCTTGCATTCCGACAGGTAGCGCGTGAAGAGTCGAGCCAGAGTTTTGATGATGACTGGCGGCGCATTCTTCAGATGTTCCGGTTTGACCCTGTCGAGACCGGGTGCTGTACGATTCTTCACCGACTTGATGGCGTGTCGGACTTCGGAAGAGAGAACTGAGGGGACGACGTATCCATCCTGTTGCAGTTGATAAGTGGGCAGATGGACATGGCTATCGAAGAGATCCGAGTAGAAGTCGTGGATGACTTTCTCCATTGCGGATGCTCTCAGCTCTCGCTGACTTCGCTAAACTGCTGCCTCTTCGTCCGTGACGATCTTCCTTCGATCCACGGAATCCTCCTTTCCTGAGGGTACTCTCACTGAAAGATCTCGAGCCGGTTGGTGGCGAGGCTACGTGGCGCGACCCCAGGTGGCGGATAGGGGGTAAATCGCGGACCAAAAGCCACCATGTACTTGCCCTGAGACGCAGGTGGATTCAGGGGATGGACTCCCTGTTTCTGTAGCGCTGTGTTGATTCATACCAGCTGTCTCCACTCAGGCGCATCCATGCATGCTTGCGTGTGTGGTGCGCTCTGTGTGTGTGCGGTTGGTATCCTGCATGTCGGCACAGCCAAAAGCTTGCATTCAAGTGACTGGGAAGTACATGGGAGGCGATTCGGGGCCGCCTCCAAGAAATAAGCCCCTTGTTCCGCTCCAGGATAGCGTGGCTAACTACCTGGAGGTCTATCCTAGCCCGCACGACAGAGCCTGGCAAGCTACTCGTGTGCCTTCAATATGCCGAAAACAGCAATATGGATGGGCCTCATTCCCCTGAACCTGAGGGAGCCCCCAATACGGCAGCGTTGGGTAGGACCGCTCGGGAGAGGCTGCTAGAATCTCAGGGCCCGGATAGGCTGCCTAAACGAAGAAGGACTAAGATGGCGATCTGTACTTTCAACGCACGAACGCTTGCATCCGAAGCTCACATCGAAGATCTGATGATGCAGGCCAGGAAGATCAAGTACGACGTCATCGGACTGACCGAGACGAGAAGGCACCGCCCGCTACACGCCGTTTTCGATACTGGAGAAGAACTGTTCCTTGGAACATGCGACAGCAGAGGCGTTGGCGGTGTGGGTGTCCTCGTCAACACGCACTTGGCCATAAACATCGATTCGTACGAAAGCCTTACGACCCGAATCGGACGTTTGAGATTGAGAAGATGTGGTTCAACTCCTGCTTTGACAATCTTCGTCGCCTACGCACCAACATCCAGCTACGACGAAGAAGAACACGAAGCATTCTATATGGAATTGGAGAAGTTCTACAGGGAAGATCATACCTTCTTTAAGGTCATCGTCGGCGACTTCAACGCTAAGATTGGCCCAAGAAGAACGGCTGAAGAACTTCACATCGGTACTCACGGAAT